TAACAAATACTGCAAGCATAACATTGTATTTTTTTACTAGCAATTCTATTCTATTAAATTATTTTATGAGGCTTTGATAGAAGTGAGAAGGAGGCATATACGGCTTTGTCTATATCTTCTTACATGTGTTGCTTTGGTTTTGCTATTGTTAAAATAATATATTTGGTTGTTTGTTAGGTACACCTACAGGCCTTCCTTTTTTTTATTTTCACGTCAGGAAATGCCGTTACGCATATCCCTGCAGCATTTTGCTCATGCAGGGATTTTAGTAGACTTTTTTCTTAGGGCAGACGTGCGATAGGACGTCGACACAGCCCCGGTCGTTTCTGAGTACAGGCCTCCTACCGTAATACAGATTTTTTTAAACCAGTGTGGAGATGACCAATATTTGTATTGGTTATTGTATTGTACAACTAAGCAAATATACCAAAATGTATTACACATTAGGTGTCATTTTAAATAGTTTTATTCCTCCAATGTTTCGCAAGCCTCTAAATATCACACTTAATCTACTTTTAACTTTTGAAAAAGATTTTCTTTAAATTTAGTTTTTACAGTATTTGAGTCGACTAACGCGCTCTATTCATAGATTTAAGCTGCAACTCAAATTCAAAATAAAGTGCCAACCCTAAGCTAATACCGATATGTTATAAATAGCCGACTATTAGACGTGTTAGTGACCCTTCAAATACTAGTTCAAACTTAATAATTGTTCACTTTTATCGCTTCCTGGCTTTTACGAGCTTTCTCAAATACGCTTTATCGACTGTGTGTATAGTGTAATAGGAGATTGTGATGAAGAATTATGTAAATTTTATCACAGAGCTGGAGCTTTCCTCGCTCAACGACTAAGTATCGCAATACATCGAGGAAATGATGCTAGTGTTAAAGGTACACTGCCACAGGGACTAAACTTTTTAAATGTGTTTTAATCCTCTTTTTAATATTAATTATTTTATTATTACTATGTAGGTTAAGAAAATTATAAATACTGTATATTTGATTCCTCCGATTACTATCTAATAAATTTATATTTTTATCGTTACTTATATTATTATTGTATAAGTATATGTTGTAACCGTTCATATTACGGTAATTAATCATATTATGAGAATATTCTTATTCTTGTAAGTAGTGTCATTATGCCTAGTCAGCCTTTCCGGAATGGAAATAGCTAGACGCAAGACGAAACCGTTCGATTGTGATTGGATAAATGTCATGACGGATAATACCATGCAACGCTTGTTGGACTTAAATGATGTTGAACAATGACGTCCGTATCACCTCGACGTACGCCGTTCCACAACTAAGAGTTTTTAAACTTTTACCACTATGTGAAACAATATCCGAACCGTATCCGAATGGAAGTATATTACCAATTAGACGTAGGGTCCTCCAAGAAAAGAGCGTACCAATTCTTAAAAGGCCAGCAACGAACTCGCGAGTGATCTGGCATTGAGAGTGTCCATGGGCGGCAGTATCACTTAACATCAGGTGAGCCTTCTGCCCGTTTTCCCCCTGTTCTATAAAAAACTTACAATCCAACAACACGTGTCGTCGTTCCGTCTTTCAGTGTACATTGTCACCCCGTAGAATCAATTACTTCGTATTTGACATTTCGCAAATGATAATAATGAGACGTGTGACAGTTTAAGAAGTGATTAAAGTTACCAATAACACTATAATTTTAGTCTTAATTGAAATAAATAGAACGTTATTGATACAAATAACAATTACATTTACGATAATAATTGCTTCAATAATCATAGCAATAAGTTGTTAGCATCCGTTTAATGAACCGCAAAAAGCCTTCGCAACAGACAATGGGTCCTTTTATCGGCTGTGAGCGTGACATCTGTCATCGAATGACAATCTAACATTTGAATTGATATGATCTGAAAGAACCATAAAAATTTAGAGTCAGTATTTAAATTGTTTTAATCTAAGCATATAGAGTCTGATAAATAGTTATATTTTACATTACCAACGTACAGTGCTTACAATATCCTACACATTGTAATAATAGTAATATAAAGTTTTTAGCAGCATTTACGCAAGTTAATATATTTATATTAATTAGTACTAATATACAAGTTGCACTTAAATAGTGGAACACTTGGAAACAAAATTTGTTTCTTCAGGATTACAAGGGTCTGTCACGCTTTGTTGGCGCGAATGAAAGTCTACTACTAGTGCACTGACATGTTTTGCGTCAGCACGGAAAGCTGATTACGACATTTAAGCCATAAAAAAAATAAAATTCCCAAATACATGTACAAATACCGGCAAACATCTTGAACAATTGTCCTTGCCTGCCCAGAAGCGATTGATTGGTAAATCAGTTGACTTTTGTGTCCCAGATGCGCAAACTTTCCCCCACTCCCTTGTTTAATGCTCAAGAAGTTTGCCGGTATCTGTACCGACACTTTTTTATTGTTATAATGTAGTCCTCCATTGCTGATTAATATACCTATAGCTTACAGCAGTAAAACCTTTTCTCATGAATCTCACTATCTATAATCTATAAGTGAACCGTTCAAAGAAATCCACGGCGTAATTTCCGAGTTTATCGTGTTCAAGTAGAGAGCAGACGCGTTCGGGTCTACTAACAGACTACTAACAATACTTATAAAAATCATGGTATTGTAGGGGCAAAAGTTATCATAGTATTGTAAAGATCGCTATTTATTAGAAACAATGGATGTCAATCAAGTAGTACATGCCTATAACATATATATCACTTGAAATACCGGCCTTTGTTCCGATACTATATAGAGGTTTACCTACCGAACCATTGACAATATATTTAGAATTCATAATGGTTACAAGCTATTGAAATGACACGGCCAAGTGGCCATAGTATATGTTCAGATTTAATACTCCGGTGGAATGGTCTTTTTGAGCGAAGGAGGAAATAGGTTTTACACTCAGCCGTACTTCAAAATCTTGCGGGTGGTGAGCCTGGTACTCAGTTTCTTTGTGCCTAGGGGATATGAGCCGTGAAGGCCAAGGTTGTTTGCGATACCAAGGGCCAGAACCAGTCTGTTGGACAGATCCCCGTTAACAAGTTGCGTCTAGTAAATGCTGTCTCCGACACTATCGACATTTTTGTTAAACGCAGAGTTCACAGTAGCAATACTGTGTCAGTATCTTATGTATTTAATATAATAGACAAACTAAAATTAAATTTAATACTAACACACTTAATTATAAAAACAATATAATAATCAAAACAATTAATAACTTTAAAATAATAAACTAAAATATATTACCTATTAATAGGAGTCCCTTTAGGCAAGGTTCCGAAGATACTGGCAGCGTTCCCCCTTTGAATAGCTAGACTAATTCTTTGTCCGAGGTAGCTGCCAGCTCTATATAATAGATATATTTTATTTTTAAAATCGAAATTATCGTATTGGCGTAGTACTGTAAGGATAAATAAATATTATCCTCTTGACGGCATCGAATGCTGACCATATACCTATAGTAGAAATTCGTTATATTTAATTGATAAGCTCTTTACACGCATGTTTGTGATTCTTTCATGGAAGCAGGAACCCTCGTCTGTCAGCTTTTTGACGCATTTAAGTTAAACAAGTGTTAGGCATTTGTTTTTTTACTGTTGCTTTAGTAATGTTCGTAATGACGTCATTTCCTTTGTCAAAAGTCATTGCTTTTACTTTCAATATTGTCTATACTTTACTTTTTTACATGAATTTCCGGTAAGTCAACCAGGCCTTAGCACGAATGATTGTTTGGTCAAGTATTATCCGTCAATCGATTTTTCACATAATTTATATAGTTCTAATCTATATACATTTTCACGATTCCATTTAACTCCAAATATGGAGAATTGCTCAATTTTTTCGTACAAAATGGCTGGATCAACAATATCATACCGTTCACAGTTTGTTCTTGATCTGGTGAAATATTCTTCGTATATGAGTCGACGGACTCACGAACATAGTGTACAAACATAATAGAAGACTAAAACTGTATGAACATTACCTTAATTTAAGCTATTCACTAGTATTGTAGAAAATTAAGTCAACATAATATATAGACTAGATTGCTATTCTTGTAAAGTCGCACTCTTTTTTGTGAACTTTATTGTAGGAAAACCACAAAAAAAAACTGGCAATAAACTCTCCGCCACTCTTGTTAATCGCCAAGTTTTTTGTTTTACACAATGTTTGTAAGCAGCTGCAACCATCACACCATGTTCCACATGATATAGAGTCATTCCTGAATTAAGAATAAATTAATTCCTACATAATTAGTATTGTCTTGTATAATGGTATACGATTAGCTACCGCGTGACTCACAATAACTGCTCTGTAATGAGATGATTTCACGGCTTTATATAGGCAATAAGTCTTTATATACAGTCTAGGGATATTAAAGAATAACTGGGCATATAATGGAGTAAATTATATAAGCAAATATATTTTACTATACTTATTATATTAGTAAATATAAAATGGTTATTTTAATTGTATCTATATATATATAATTATCTATGCTATACATATATATTTTCAAAATACAAAATACCATTCGCATCACCTTGACGTCCGTTGTTCCGCAACTGAGCGTTTTATAAGGCAGTTTTTGCCGCCGTTTCCAAATTTGTTTACGACTGATAATACACGTTATAACGATTGACGTTATAAAGTTTACACTGTAATAATAAATACATAAGATGCACCATCACTATGGGGAACCAGCTGCCCACTGAAGTATTTCCGAACGAATTCGACTTAGGGTCCTTCAAGAAAAAAGCGTACCAATTCTTGAAAGGCTGGCAACGCACTTGAGAGCATTCTGGCAGTGTGTGTCCATGGGCGGTGGTATCACTTAACATCAGGTGAGCCTCCTGCCCGTTTGCCTCTTATTACATAAAAAAAGAACATATATTACAGATCCCCTACCAATCACGGGATCAGGCAGTTCTATAACCAAGAAGCTTAACAGCAAGGCTTGGCATCTCCCGCCGGGTCCTACTCCGGGAATATCCTCACGATATGGTCAAGTTCGGAGTCGGCCGCCGGGACCCGCGTCACCTCTCGTGCTATATTACTGACGTATTTGATAATTCTGTGGCTGTATTTTACCAGCTGCGATCTGTCTTCGAGCATCAAGTACATCGCGGGACCATCATGCCAGTCTGACTCTTTGTTAAAAATATTTAAATCTCGCTAATGTGAAAGTGAAACAAGGTTATGCGAAAAATCTTATCTAAACTAATATCAATGTTTTTATACGTATATGATAACTCTATCCCGTTAGTGATATGATCAGTGAGAGCAAATATATCGCATTGCGTTTTAAGATAACATTTAAATACAGGCTGTTGTCATATTTAAGTGATATTAAAAAGTGTAGACGTCATTATTTTCAAATGTTTCTTTAAAATATTGAATGTGATTTGTATAACCTTTGTAAGCTTAGTTCTGAATGTTCTAATTCAGATAAATAAAATTGTGCAAGAAAGTTTGTAAGGGAAATCAAATAGCATTGAATTTATGTCACTTGCTAACTATTTAATTAATAAGGCGCTACAACCATTTTAGGTCTGAACCTCAGATTTCTGTATCTGTTTATTTGTCAAACTAATAGGCAAGTAGGAGATTAGCCTCCTGTGCCTGACACACGCCGTGAAATTTTTGGGTCTAAGGCACGCCGGTTACCGGTTTTCGATTGAATTGATAGAAGCCACTAGGCCAACACTGCTCTAATTAATATGCATAGGTTGACAAATTTAAAACAAAACAATTTCAAAATTATATTCAGTTAGCAAAATAGATGTTGCAATTTTCTATAAAATTTATTAGCAGTGCTAAAAATATAGATTTATAATACGAGTAGTGCAATTAAATGCTGCGTCAACTAATAAAACGCAGTGACATTTAAATTCGCTAATTGACATAAATTTTATATTAGACAAATAAAATATTTAATTGTCATTATTTTGTTTAGACATCTTTCATATACTTTTCACATATTTTCTTATTCAAGCGACTTCTATAAAGAATTGCATAAAACTGCTATCAAGGTTATGTAGATGAAAAATCAAACTTGTATTCAAACATTTAACTTTATAAGCAGTCCTGTATATCATTTTATAAAACATTCACGTGATGCCTAACAGTTTTTTTGTTAAAAATTTACGCAATTATGAAACAATCTCACGTTACCAACTTTGTATATATTTACATTTTTATCCATTTACGGCAAATGCAATCAGTTAATGCACAATACTAATTCATCATTTTTCGTGTCTTTTTTCCAAAACAAACACTTTTAAACTATGAATTTTTATAACCAATACAAAGTTGACATTATCGAATTTATTTACGTAATTTAATTTTTAATTACCTCATCATAGCTCGTTTCCACGGAACCAGAAGCCTTCCGATGAATTTAAAACTTTCAATCTAGTGAAAGTACCCTCGGTTTCTTCAAAGAGCCACAAACACTACACCAAAACACACTGACGTCACTTTTCCCTAGTATACATTAATAAATTCACGTTTTGTTAGTTGCGGCAGCTACGCACGTCCGATCTGCTCTGTTGCATCTGAGTTAGTGAGCGGCGCCGGAGGCCGCCTGCGCCGGCGCAACTGTAACCTCTCGGAATGCAATCTCCTCACTCTCTCATACTTGCATACGTTTTCTCCTGTTCTGTCTCGTTTCCCCATGTTTATGAATGGTTATGCAGTTGCACCCAGTGACCGTAGGTCGATGTTTAAACTCTTTGGACCCTCTATTTGCTAAATGCTTGAATAGCCTTTGAGTCGAGTTACTTAAGTTTTTTCCAATACCTTGGTTATGATTATGTGTTTATTACGTTGTCAACAGTATATTCGCATGAACAATATTGTTTGGAACGTTAGGAAAGATTATATCGTCTCGCAAAGTCACGTTTTAATCGCTGTTAATGATAAACAAAGAAAACCTTGTTAACAGCGTAATCTTTAACAAATGTCAGTACAATACGATTTAACTTCTGTCTTTAGGATTAGGGATAAAGGGGGGAGGGTCAGATAGCATAAAAACATGTGTAGGTAAATATAGTATGGACTGTTCCAGCCAGTCAGTCCTGTAAAGAACCGTAATGTTTAAGCAAGGGGTGTGAAAATATATACGTACAACTTTTGATTAACCTTTTATCCAGATTTCATAAACGAAGCTAAAAATAGCGACAATACCATATTGATAAAAGAACAGCAACAACAATGATTGATGAATGTGGCCTCAGACGTCATTATGTAGATATTGTTCCCACAGATGTGCGCTTAATGTTAGGAATTTGCAGATGTTGAAGCGATCTTTCTATGAGAATACGCAAGGAGACGAGTCTTAGTCGTCTTTATATTCTTTGTAATAAATATATAAGTGCAGACAATTTAGTTAGTATAGAAATAAGATCACAACAAATATTCAAATCGTTATAAAATAAATGTATGGCCTTCAGCGTTCAATGGACTATCTTTCTCTGTGCGCATTTAACACTCGCTCGTACGGTGAAGGCAATATTCTTAGGAAACTTTACCTTAAACCCAAAAATTCGATGGCTTTTGTTAGGCATAGGAGGCTGATCACCTACTTGCCTATTAGATTTACAAATTATGGCAAAAAAAGTAGCCTTTTTTCCGCTCTGATTTATTTTAACTTAATTCTGCATTAAATTTCAACTGATTTCGTTTCAACAATTTTATAATCTACGATTAGGGATCCCGAGGTTTTGGTTGTTATTGTTTTAGAATCAACAAAGTTTCGGATTAACTTGGGAAGATCCGTCAAAGTTATGTTACTAAGCATATTATTTATGCTGTTAGTGGAATAAATTCTTAAGTACCATTTTATATCCCCGACAAACTTTTTGCATATTTTTATCTATCTTAATCAGAACTCTAAAGACAGAAAATTCAGAACTAAGCTTACAAAGATATATATGTATTATACATTGAATAATGATTAAAGTTTAGTCTTGAATCCAAATTGTTTTTCGTTGGTAAGATATGTCCCATACCGGTGTTACAAAACCGTTAAAAGATGGTAAATTGTGTATAGATTTGGACAAAAAATCACTGTTGTTTCTGAAATATCACATTACAACGTTTGTACAGCTTGTCACGGTGTAACTCGGAATTCGACACCACAATACAAAAAAGCCAGAACTCAAAATTTTAGTATTTTGTATACAAATAACGCCAATTGTTAGATGCTAAACACGATCCCCCTTATTTATAAAACTAAAGTATAAATGCACTCTCAACTAAAGTACTCTTTTGTCTCTTTCTGACTAATTGTGTTAGGCCTGATGAAAAGAGAAGAGTTAAAACCGCGTAACTAGACTATCCTGAAAACTTTATAAGTTTTTCTGAAGAAGTGTTGTCTCACTTGTCGCTAACTTATACCTGAGTGTAATTATCATCTGCAGATAAGGATCTGCACCGGATTCTGTCCACCTCTCTTACCGATTAAATAAATTGTGAAAGTAAAGCAAATCAAGCAAAAGTTTTTCAATTTCATTTAAAAAAATGTTTTTTTGCCTATTATTTGCCTGGATTCGAACCCAGGATGGATGAGATGTCATATGGGTTAAACTTAGGTAAGTTAAAGACGGAATATTAAAAAATTGTATATACATTATACCAAAAATAGTTTACTATGATTTCGACAGTTTTGAAGCAAAAAACTTTCTTTGGACCAACATTGTCAGTTCTGTTTGACAATGGCATCCAAATCACCATAATTGTTTGAATTTTTTTACCATGTGGCATTGTTTATATTCCTACATAATGTTTATGTGCTTAATCTATGGTTGGTCATATAGTCTGTAGTATAAAGAATTATCTGTCAATTTTAATAGCGTCCTTAACCAGTAATTTGCTGGATCGAGCCCTTCGGACATGACCATAAATTAAACAATTGAAATGTCAATGAACCAGTACGGAGACATCTTAATAAGCAACATAGCCCCCAGCAACACCATAGATCTTAATCACAGACAATAGAATTTTGTAATAATAGTGGGATGTTCAACGCGAATTGTGGATTTTATTATAAATTTTGTTTTTCGTTTTACTGAATACGTGCTTGGATTTTAATACAATTATTAAACAACTTTAATTCTAGCTACTGATATGTCGCAACAATTATAGGTAATAAAGATTATGTTTAATTAAAGAAAAAAGTTTAAAATGAATCTTCCAAACTGTTCCTAAGTTCCATACTAGACAGTTTCATACCGTAATTATTTCGCAATCACAAAACTTTTTACATTGTTCGATGACTGGATTTACCACAGTGACTGATCCTTTTGGGCACGCAAATGAAAGCGAGATGATATTTAGCGTCAATATAACGGTGTTCAACTGACCTACAAGTTAACCCAGCTGGTAAACGAAGTGCCGTGTGAAGACAATTTAAAATGTGTTAAAATTTGGGCGACACGAAAAAGGTCATTGTATTTGTAGGTTACATGGATGAAGGCTCTTCTCTTAAAATATCGTTTTAATACATGATTATTTCCGATATTATACTTCTTTTGGCGCGTTAGTTAAAAATGATGAGAGTAAATTTTTACGATGCACACTGTCACAAAAAACCGACACCCTGAAGTTAGCTATAGTCAACATTTTAGTTTTTTCTATTGTTAGTGTCGTTTTTTCTAGAAATGTAGAATAAAATTATTGAAAAGATTTTTATCTTCTTACGCCAAAGAAGTATAAATTCTAACGCGTGTACATAAGTACACACGTTTCTTATTGAAGAAAAATAATATTATGCTCTATGAATTTCTAGCATCACTAGAGATTGGTACAGCCTACTGTACCTATTTAACAACAATTCTCTCATTTTTCTTCTTCAAAATCATTGCTTCTACAACAACTTCTTTAAAAACCTTTATGGCTATAAAAAAGGTTTTAATCAAAATACGATAAAAGAAAAAGATTCGAAGACACTTTACCCATATATGCTAACATTTAAATTCGTCAATTCAAGAAATTTTACTAAAACATAGTAGGTAATGTGAGTTAGTTATATATTAAAGTAAATGTATGTTATGTATAGCGATCGAGTTTCTTCGCTGCCAAATAGTTAACTATGGTATTAATTACTAGGAAGTTAATTTGACCAGCAAATAAGGCTAAGTGGATAATAGGTGTTAGCTAATTTATTTATCGATATTTTTTGTATGTCTGCTTCTTGACCGTGAACGCAAGGTTGTCAAAATAATTGTACGGATAAAATACAAATAATAGGTGTTTTATTGTCGTTGGTTTTAGCAACTACATATTTGAATATATTTTTTATATAAACTGCGTTTCAGGTCATGAATATATCCATGATTTATAATTGAGGTTTCAAACAAGAACGCCTTATCATGTTTATTGTTTTTAAATACAGTTTCATATTTATTTCCCATTAAGAACAAAATTCCCTTTATTACTACGTTCCCTTAGTAACTGATCTAATATATTTCATTGTCTTATTAATAAGACTTAAAAATGGAAGAATACATATAAATACTTTTTGGTGCATTTTAAAATTGATTATAAAAACAATTGTCTCACCAAAGCTTTCGTATTTATTTCAACTCCAATTCATTTATAAGAGACTAGCCGTTTCGCGCCCGCTTTGCTGGACGAATTAAAATAAATTTTATGTTTCATTATTTTATTTTTTTTCATATTTTTATTATTCTTCTTTTTAACTTCCCGCTAAGAAAATTGAAATATTTCGAAAATCGAATTTTGTAACAGATGTTGACGTTTAGAGGTTCTAGGAAGCCTCCCCGAATGTTTCCGCGGTGAAGTCCGTATGGATAAATTTTCATAAAAGTAAAACAGCAATAAAAAAATGAAGGAACGTTGGAATTTAATAAATAAATAGCCATAAACCATCTAGGAAAAATTTCGCATCGAATGGTGGTAGTTTCATGTCGATACGATCACGTGGTTTAGGCGTGAAGGAGCCTCAAACGAAGATCATTTTCCTTTTATATATATAGAAGAAATAGACCATTTCCTCCTCCTTTGCGTGTTGTATCCACGAGAATGTAAGCGCGTGCTCCTATTTCACCATGCCTACTGCTGATAAGGGTCAAATCTTTGTTTTTTTTAAATATTAATTACTTAAAGATGTCATGTGGAACATGGTGTAATGGTTGCAGCTCCTTACAATCATTGTGCAAAACATAAAACTTGGCGATTAAGAAGAGTGGCGGAGAGAATTGCCAGTTCTTTTCCGTTCTACGTCCTTGATTTGAAAACTGGCAGTAAATGTAAAATTAGAAGCATTTATTAACTATTTCTTTATTGAAGTTCATAAGTGTATATTGTGTTACCTATATGAATTAATAATTTTGAATTTGAATTTCCTCTTTAAATATATAAAAGGCGTATAGATATTTTAGTGGAATGATATACGGAACAAAACGTGTCACAAAGAGGAAATTGTTTCAAAATCACACATCGGTATAGACAACGTTTTTAAAAATAGAATGTAGTAGAAGTATATATTAAATAAGTATATCGGTCGTGAGTTCAATCACCTAGATATATTTAGTATTTAATGCCGACTAACGGGAAACCCGGATACAAACATAATGGGCTAACCAGCATTTCGATATTTCTTATATGTATTTAAAGAACGTCTATGATTTTTTCTAATTAGTACGTTTAAAATC